TAGAACTTTGGAACAGCTATTCTATTCTTTCTGTTCAGAACAGCACAGAAAGTTTTATGTCTCTCAGCACTATCTGCATTTACCCTTAAAAGAAATTTATAAAGCAAGTGAAAGATATACTGTAAAACCTCAACTCTCAAACAAACAGAAAATCTTCAAAACCACAAATTTAAAATATTACTAAATTAATATACTGTGAAAAGGAAAATCCGCAACTTGAAGAGAGAAATAGTTGTAGGTTATAGAACAACATAAGAAAGTGAATAAAAGTAGCACAACTCGGATGACCATCTGTTTAACCATGTTAAGTACACAGCAGCAAAACAAGCACAAATTATGGCTACACTGTAAAAATAAAGGAGTATGATGAAACAAGAAAAGCAGCCATAGGATTGATTTACTCCATATTTAAAAATGTATCCCAACATAAATCACAATAATAAAAACCCTGTAAAATAAAACAAAATTCCAGAATTTGATGAAAAATAGGTATGAAACCTAATATGTGAAAAAAAACCAGAAGTAATACAACATGAAGAATAACATCACGAACAAATGATGTTGCAACAAATGCTTATCAGCATTTATCACATGCTACATTGTAATAAATATCATATGTCTTAAATTACCCACCTAATCAATTCACTAATTAATTATAAAAAGGAAAGAAGCAAAAGGGCTTTTGCACCACAACTATGGCCTGGGATAAATTTGGGGCTATTGAAGAAATAAATTTTATTATCAGAAATAATATTTTGAAATATGCTATATAATATGAATATGCTATATAATATGAAATATGCTATATAATATGAAATATGCTATATAATGCCAAGCTTCATAGAAACAAGAAATTACAATATATTTCACCCAAAGCAGTATAAATGAAATAAGTGACAATATTCAAGGCTGAGAATACTGTAATTAGAAGGGTGCTTAGAGATCCTGCTAGAGTGCCTTCTGTTACAGAGAACCACCAAATGTTTCTATCCATCCAGATGTTGATTTCTAAATGCTGTCTCAAATAAAATAAAACCAGGGTTCTTTAGAAACTGCCTGAACCTGGAGCTGGGGTAGGGAAAATATAAGATGAGCCTAGAGCTTCTTATGGTGCCAAAGAGGAAGACAGTGAGCAAAAGCAGTAAGAAATTAAGTAAGGGAAATAAGAAAGTAAGGAAGTAAACGACCATGGGAGGATGTTGTCAGGACACAGAGACCAATCTGAATAAACGAGATTCCAGTGGCTAAATCCAGAACAATTTGAGTCCAAAATAAATAGTATTGGATTATTAACCAAATAATTAAGTATTTAAGCAAGAAGAAAAATTTTGAATGTTATCACCACAAAGAATGATAAATATTTACAGTAATGAATATGTTAATTGCCCTGATGTGGTCACTGTATTATGTGAATGAAGGAGCACACTGAGTTTTACCCCAAAACATGGCTCCCTGTTACGATGAATATGTTGAATTACAGGCCCTTAGAGATCAAAAGATGCTAGAACAGACTTTTCTCTATCTACATAAAGACAGAGAAGACCTACCAAGAAGAATTGTTTCTCCTCTCTCCCCCATATCTGTCAATCCTCTACCTCTTCAAAAGCAGAGGCTAAGTTTCCTTATCTGCCTAAAGTCCAGATCTTCAAAAACAAACAAACAAACAAACAAACAAAAATCCAATTACCTGTGTTCCATTCCTTGAGTATTTATTAACTGAACCCATATCACAGGAGGAAGACTAAAGTCATCAACAAACCTGGACATATTTTTGTCACAAATCAACAGGCCCAACAGAACATTGTATGTTCTTCAAGCCCATTAAATTATTCTAAAAATCATTTACTATCTTCCTAAAATCATCCATATTACCTCTCCTCTACCTTTCCCCTAAAATTTAGTGTATATAACCATCTGTACTCTACTGCATATAAGGCAATCACTCTATGATTCTCCCCTTCCATATGATAGCAATACATTTATTTTCCTTTTCTCTTATAAATCTGCCTTTTTACGGATTAATTTTTCACTCACTCTTCAGAAGGCAAAGGAGAAGCTTTCCATTCACCCACACATACACATGTATTGAAACATCACAGTGAACTCCATAAAAATGTACAATTATTATGTGTCAAATATAATTAAAAATAAGTATTCATGAGTCCACACTGATATAAAAAAAAGAATAAATAAATACATAGGAGAGAAGGTGCAACCCTTCCTTACAAAATAATTCCAGTTCTAGCAATCTAACTTGTGGGAAACTATCTTAAACGTAGTTAAAGACTTAGAGAATCAAAGATGATTATGTGTTAATTGCAGTACTATTATAATACTTAAAAATCTAAAATAATGCTTCTCTTTTGATGAATTAGTTTGCAGTAAACTATTTGTTCTTGAGAACGTTTATGAGGAAATACTCAGAAAAACGTAACGTATTTTACACATTTAAATAGTGACTTCTCCTAAAAATATTCTAACACAAGAAAGAATTGATGAGTGAAACAAACACAGATAATAAAATTAAAATAAGAAAATAAATTAGAAGGCAATATGTTGTAGTTTGACCCTAACCATTCACAACATTGATCTAGTTGTGAATTCCACATTTGCAGAAACTTCTGCTTAGGTTTACACTATATCTACACAATGTCTCATATTCAAATAAAAATGATTCATCTAATCTTACAGATGATTTATCTACCAAATATTTTACCTTATAAAATGCATTTTGATTGCCCATATGCAATCTTCTGATGAAATACAAGATACACACACACACACACACACAGACACACACACACACTGTATAATTTCAAATATTTTGGAATTTCATTGTGTTCAGCGAGAAGTTTTGGCAACATTAAACAAAAAAAATGTAACAAAATCCAGTGTCCCTTGTCTTATTTCTGTTAAAAAATAATATATCTTGAAAAATCTATCAATGGACATAGTAAGTCACTAGAGTGAATTTTTCTTACCTCATTTTCTAGAGGACAGCAGGGTCTGGCCCATACTTGATAATCAATATATGTTCAATTAAAGAAAATGGAAGTATGCTATTTCTTTATGACATAACTATGACAAGCTTTCATTTTGATTCATGTAAAGTTATGAAGCTAGACTAGATTCATTAATAAAAACTGGTATTATTGAAATAGAAAATCTTTACATACAGTTAGATCAAGTAGGTGTGAACATCAAGAACATTAGCATAAACACTTCACCTATATAAATGTATGACAGAGGAAGAGGAACCACCTGCAATAAGAATACTTTAGAAAGACACAGCTTACAAATATGATTTAGAAATGGCTCTACTGTTAATCAAGTGATGAAAGATTGATGTTTTATATAATTAAACTCCTGACAAAAATGTGAGTAATGAAAAATTAGGAAAACAAATTGAGGAACGTAAATCTAATTTTATAAATGTCCATATTTTCCTATGACTCATGTTCTTAAAGTAAAAGAAAGAGCAGATTTCAGAAGAAGAGAGAAGGGTAGTATTGCTTATTCTCTCCAAACACTTAAGACATCCAGCAAAAAATCTGACTCAATCCTAATAGCAGTTCCTACTGCCATAAAGAAATATAGACATTTGCCTTGCCTTGGTTTTTTTTTTTTTTTTTTTTTTTTTTTTTTTTTTTTTTTTGAGACAGAGTCTCACTCTGTCACCAGGCGCCAGGTTGGAGTGCAGTGGCACAATCTCGGCTCACTGCAACCTACACCTCCCGAGTTCAAGCAATTCTCCTGCCTCAGCCTCTGGAGTAGCTGGGACTACAGGCGCATGCCACCATGCCCAGCTAATTTTTTTATATTTTTACTAGAGACAGGGTTTCACCATGTTGGCCAGAATGGTCTCGATCTCTTGACCTTGTGATCCACCTGCCTCAGCCTCCCAAAGTGTTGGGATTACAGGCGTGAGCCACTACGCCCAGCCCGCCTTGGTTTTTGTGTAACATTAATCAAACATTAATCAAATCAACAAAAAGAAAATTTCAAAGCCATTTATAGGGACATATCTGTAGTTAAAATTTTTGTATTTTCTAGCTAACCTTGTAAGAATGCATACATTTGAAAGTATCTACCTACCTGCCTACCTACTTATCTACCTACCTGTCTGTCTACCTCCCACCCTCCCTCCCTCCCTCTCTACAGAAAAACACATACACTCACATATATACATATGTATATTTATGTGCATATTTTCATGAAAATCTAGATTTGTCATATATTTTTCGAGCAATGAGCTAATATATTACTTACAATCAAATCTTCCTATATGTTTTGGAGATAATTTACACATATATTTCTCAGAATAATGCACAAATCATACTATCTGATTATATTCTGTTCAGAAACCACTGTGAGATACTGTGTCCTTGATACGCCTCCAAGTTTCTAAGAGTTAAATGCAGATGCTTATTTATCTTTCTAATAAAATTTTAGAGAAATGTGTAAAAGTAGATTATACTAAGTCAGATCCTTAAAAGAAGAAACACTGTTCTTTTTTCAAGGTTTCTATGTGGTAAGAGAAGAAGAAGACAGAAGACAGAAGAAGAAGAATGAAGAAGAAAGAAGAAGAAAGAAGAAGAAAGAAGAAGAAAGAAGAAGAAGAAGAAAGAAGAAGAAAGAAGAAAGAAGAAAGAAGAAAGAAGAAAGAAGAAAGAAGAAAGAAGAAAGAAGAAAGAAGAAGAAGAAGAAGAAGAAGAGGAGGAGGAGGAGGAAGAAGAAGAAAGGAGGGAGGAGGGAGGAGGGAGGAGGGAGGAGGGAGGAGGAGGAGGAGGAGAAGAAAAAAGAACATTGCAAGCAGTTCTGAAAACACAACTGAGATGCAATTTGATAAACAGCCTTCCATCATCCAAGCCAGAGCAGTGGAACAGCATGCTATCAGCACTTTCATCAAAGATACTATTGACTCCTCTCTTTCTATCTCATTTTGTCATGACTTTCTCATTTTGTTTACTCAGTAAATGATTGGAAAAAATAATTTCTACCTCTTGGGTGAGAGGGGATGGTGTCTGCTAATGAAGGTTCCTTTTCTCCATCATTGCTGCCGCCACTGCCTTCACTGCCACCATCTCTTTCAATCAGTTTGTCCACCATAGCGATAATGCAGTTCAGGCTCTTCCCCACATTGGCCCACACCCTGTCCTGAAAAGAGCATGAGTATCAATACATATTTTTGTCACAAAAACAAGATAAGTCAAAGTCGGATAAATCTTTTTTAGAGAAGCATTTAGAGGAGCAGTCATTAGAATGCAGATGGAGTAGCTCTAAATTCCCATTAATTTGGTCACACTATGGATATACAATAAATCTCTGTTCTCTCAATAAAGCAAAAATGAAGCATTATAAATCTTTTTATTTAGTCCATTATTTTTGTTCTGTCATAAAGAAATGATGACGGTGATACAATATTAATCCATAATTGAGCACAAATTATGACATTTTAAATTGGAGATATCTATTCTGTTTATCAACACGATATGAAAGCAGAGACACATGAACAGTTTTAAAGAATGGCCTCCTTTTGTGTTAAAAATTCTTGGAGTATTTTTGGTAATATATATATGTATATCTGAAAGTTTACCATTTTAAGTAAAGTATATAGTTCAGTAGCATTAAGTATGTTCACATTGTCATGAGTCCCCTATTAGCATTCATTTCCATTTTTCGTCTTCCTAGACTGAAACTCTACACCCCTTACACATGAATTTCACATTCCTTCCTCTTCCAGCCCTTGGCAACCATCATTCTGCTTTCTGTCCCTGTGAATTTGACTATTCTAGGTGCTAGAAATTCTGGAAGTGTGGTCTTTAGACCACTTCTAACAGAACAGCCTAGAAAATTAGTATGCAGATCCCTGGGTCCGACCAAGTGAGTAAGAACCCCTGGGAGGAAGGCACAATACACTGAAATGTTGACAACTTCTTCAGGTACTTCTGACCATAATGTCTTAGAACCTCTACTTAATATTATACACTGGAGCTACATAACAAGTCATTTTGAGTGATTTATTTCCTAGGAAGCAACCTGTACCACTAAGGGACCTCTTTGCCACTAATCTTCCCAGTTCTCATTAGTAGCCATTTTTGTTTAGGGCAGTGCATACAACTGAATTCTTTGATTCATAAAAATTGCGATTGTTTAAATATCATTTTGAATATAGTTATCACAATAGAAGACTGCCATTCCTTACTTCCTTCGTGCTTCTCTTCCTACATCATGTAGCACTGACTCCTCACTTCTCCTTCTAGGCATAATACCTAGATAGATTGATGGTGCTTCCCCTTCATCACACCATAGAACAACCTTTCAGTGAGTGCTTTCTCTGTAACAGAGCTGTCTCAGGAACCTGAAGTACCACTTAATGTAAAGATAGTACTCGATGATAGTACTTCCTTAGTAGTTTGTATTTTCTCAAATGTACTTTTTTTGCCTAAGCTAATTTGCTACTTTGTAAATATATAAATTAATTTTAGAAAGGATAAATCAAGGAATAGAAAGTTGATTTTAGATTACGTGATGGTTATCTTGTAAAGACGGAATGCACAGACTTGCCTACTTCAGCTGAGGAAGGAATGGGGTTTTAAAGAAAAGCAGAACATTCAAAGTTAGCACAGGTAATTTTGGATCCCTACGCGACATGCTGCCTAGGAGACATTAAGAAAACTACTTCCGGCCGGGCGCGGTGGCTCAAGCCTGTAATCCCAGCACTTTGGGAGGCCGAGGCGGGTGGATCACGAGGTCGAGAGATGGAGACCATCCTGGTCATCATGGTGAAACCCCGTCTCTACTAAAAATACAAAAGCTGAGGCAGGAGAATTGCCTGACCCCAGGAGGCGGAGGTTGCGGTGAGCCGAGATCGCGCCATTGCACTCCAGCCTGGGTAACAAGAGAGAAACTCCGTCTCAAAAAAAAAAAAAAAAAAAAGAAAGAAAACTACTTCCTCCCTGCGGAAGCCCAGTTGTCTCATTTGGAATAATAATTCTTGCTCTAACTACCTCACCAAGCTACAATGAGAGCCAAATATTGTGCTTTTTATGAAGGCACTTGTTAAAATTATTACCATTTGGCAAAAATCCATTCCAAAACTTACTGGCTTTCTTAAGTGAATCAAGCTTTCCCCTCACCCTGTAATTTTGAGTGGGAACTACTCTATTAACCACAAACGATTACCACAATCTTTCCCCTAAAGGCAGATCTTTCCACAAACAATTGAAAGCACTTTCCCTCTAAGAAAATTTATAACACCAATCATATCCATAGATTACATCATCATCTGTTGTTGTCTGAGAAAATGATGTAAAGAAAACTCTGAGCCATAAGCCAGGAGAGCTAAGGAAGCTCATTCATTCCAGTAGGAAATGCTGGGAAAGGTAAGTAACCTGATGGTCTTAACATCAACTGAATTGGGATTTGGTGAGGAGCTTCCATTCTGGAGCACAATAACAAACTCACGACCTCTCTTCTGAATATGCCTTAATCACTACCACAAACTGCATCTTTAAGGTGATTAAATTGAAACATGAAGCAACTCTCCAGCTAAAACTGGAAATCAACTCTGCTACTGAGTTTAAAAAAAAGGGGAGCAAGTTCCTCTCAATTTTCTAGATTAGGTTTGTACATAAGTTGTCAACTCTCTTCTCATTGTCCATGTTGAAAGGAACCTGTGTGCATGTGTGGGTGTGGGTGTGTGTGTGTGTGTACATGTGGCACAGATGGCTCACTGCAGCCTTGATCTCCTGGTTTCAAATTATCTTCCCACCTCAGCCTCCGAAGTAGTTGGGGCCACAGGCATGCCCACCACACCCAACCGATTTTTATATTTTTTGCAGAGGCGGGTTTTACCATGTTGCCCAGGCTGGTCTTGAACTCCCGGGCTCAAGTGATCCACCCACGTCAGCCTCCCAAAGTGCTGGGATTACAGGTGGGAGCCACTGCACCTCATGGAACTTCGTATTTTGATCAAAGATCAAGTTGCATTGCATGTTACCTTTCTTATTTGAAGGAAAGTAAGAGATGGATCAACTTCTCTTAATCACATCTCTGAAGAGCTTGAAAATAAACATATGAAAAGATAATTTGACACTCACACCTATATATTGTTCTTCCTTTCCAGAGCTCAGATGATAAGATTTCACTGTAAGTCACTTTTGTAGCCTGTAAAGAGATCTTCATTGGCCTGAGGAGCATCGTGAAGCATGTTCATTGGCTAAAACCAATAGACTGGCTAAAACCAATGAACATGTCATAAAGGGTTATATACATAGTAGGCAGAATTTTAAAAATTAGTCATTAATGTTTAGAGGACACAGAAGACATAAGACAATATTTGTTGAGGGCAAGAAATCAAGCAGTCCCTTACGTGATACTAATACACAATTTATGCATAATCAAATGTCTGCTTGAGGGTACACTCAGCAGCAGACCCTAAGCAGACTCCTTGTATTCCTTGTCTGCTGGAGAGGAGTTGCTGCCTATCTGGTGGGGAGGAAATTCAGCTTTGCTGGGCATGGCCTCCTCCTCTTTTATGGGCTTTACTGAGTAGATTAAAGTTACTACTGTGTGTCTCTGTCTCTAATATTAGAATGAGTTATTTGACAGCTGTGTTCTTGTTTTGTGGCACAGGGCCTGGCTCTCAGTAACTTTTGTTGAAAGAAAGGAAAGAACACAGGTGGAGAAAGGGGGAGGAGGCAAGAGAGGGAAGAGAAGGGGGTGACTTCAAAGACAGATTAAAGGCTAGCATTTATATTCACATTATATATGCACATTAGCTAATTTAATGTTCAAAAGCCACCAAATAAGGTTAATGACCCAGGTTTTAGAGAAACAGAGACTTCTGGTAAGAGATGTTTAATAATATTCAACATTAAAATGGTATAAATGTACTAGAACTTCTATTCTGTTTGGCCCCAAAGACTTAATTCTTCCACTGTGATTTTCACAGAATTGAGGTACACAGTAGCACAAACTACACAGGAAAACACACACACACACACACACACACACACACACACACACACACAGAGAGAGAGAGAGAGAGAGAGAGAGAGAAAGGAGCCCAAGAAGTGTCAGGTAGAGGCACGTGCAACCTTACAGGAGCAAGATTTGGTGTCAGTTATCTGAGACTCAAATACGAGTCCATTGGTGGATCCTAGGTTAAGAGATGAGTCTACAAAATGAAATGGCTGGTTCTGTCCCATGCACTCTCAAGCCTGAGGATGAAAGGTGTCTTATACGCAGGGATGGAGCAGTCACTTGGTTAAAGGGTCATTCAGTTTGGCAAAAAGGATATAAGTGACCTGCATTAATAAAGGAATAGAGGATCAAGGGCCCAGATCCATTCATGTGACCAGGATATAGAGCAGGGTGCAGGAGGAAAGATGGTAATTCAATTATCAAAACAAAAAGGAAAACTGATAATTCAATTACTAGGAGACTGGAGTACATGGCAGTCAATTATTCTGAAACCAAGATGCTACAAAAGGGTAAGAAGGAGGTTTAAAGGGAAGCCTTGAATATCTGAGTTCTTTCCTATACAAGCCCCTTTCCACATTATATCTCTGTGGAAAGATACACAGAGGGAAAGTTACTAGCAAAAATATATTCTCATTCTGATGATTTTTACTCACTGTGCTAGTCCACATGGGAAATGCTTTGTGCCTAGATTGCTAGTATGGGGCTAGGGCCTACTCTTCTTTCTCCTCCACTAAAATCACACAATTAGTTTCTGATTGCTCCCATGATGAAGGAAGGCTGATTAGTGGGAAGACAACAGGAGCATAAGAATGTGGCTGCAGCACTTGGTGCTTCCAGCCCCTCCAGATCCTACTTAGCTCCTCACCACATGAGAGGATTTAAAACAACCACTAACACCTATCAGAGAAATGGATTGCTGGCCTTTCCTTTGGAAATAGCAGCTATGATCTTCCAGGTCTCCTACTATATGAAGGAAGTAATGGGGAATCAGTAGATTCAAGTCTAACCTCCATTAAATTGAGCCTAATCGGTATACTTAACCTCCATGGAGGCTTCACGACAACCCTATTCCTTGGAGGTGAAGTGGTTATAAACTTTTCCTGGTCAGTGAAGGCATAGAGTCAATGGGGAACCAGCAGCAATATTTATTTCACTCTGAGTTAGGTGCT